TCTGTCTCTCTCATTCTCTCTGTCTCAAATAAATAAATAAAATCTTTAAAAAAAAAAAAAAAAAGAACAAACTCAAGGTCAGAAGGTTGAAGGTGAGAGGACTTCAGATCCCCAACCATAGGATCAGGCTGGGTCAGAAAGACGATGGGTAGTGACAGAATGGCAATACTGGGAGAAAACAGGAGGATCGAGGTTCTGTGAAGTGTAGAAGCAGGTTTAGTTCATCATAAGTGATGGTTTTTGTTTTCCTGGAGGAGTATCAGATACTAAAAGCTCAAGTGTAATGGACTGTGCTTTCTTATAACTGAGTAAAAAAATGGAGTAGTTGGGGACACCTGGGTGGCTGAGTCGGTTGGGCATCTGCCTTCGGCTTAGGTCATGATCCCAGGGTCCTGGGATCGAGTCCCACATCGGGCTCCTTGCTCAGCAGGGAGCCTGTTTCTCCCTGTGCCTGCCACTCCCCCTGCTTGTGCTCTCTGACAAATAAATAAATAAAATCTTTTTAAAAATCTTACAAAAAACAGAGTAGTCAGAGAGGTAAAGCAGCAGCAGAATAAAACATCAAGGAAATTAAAAAGGGAAGCTTTTGCCTTAAGAAAAGGAGGTGGTCCACAGTGATAAGGATTGCAAAATGGTGGAGACAAGCTAGTTTTTTAAAAAGATTTTCAATTTCTCTTATGCGGAAGAATTACACTTCCAAATGTCACTAATTATTAGTGGAAACATTTTATAACATTTTACTATTTTATTACGTTTGACAATCTGCACAAACACAAAAAAAAATAGAGTAAGAGTCTCCAAAATTTCAATATGGCTCTTAGTACTAACATTTTTTTTAAAGATTTCATTTATTCATTTGAGACACACAGATACAGAGAGAGAGAGCATAAGCAGGGAGAGAGGCAGAGGGAGAGGGAAAAGCAGGCTCCCCGCTGAGCAAGGAGCCCGATGTGGGGCTCGATCCCAGGACCGTGGGATCATGACCTGAGCCGAAGGCAGACACTTAACGACTGAGCCACCCAGGCGCCCCTCTTAGTACTAACATTAAAACACCGTATTTGCTGCTAAAATCCTACAAGAAAATAAAGAGAATAGAGAAACCATGGCATATCATTTTAGTATTTCAATATGAAAGAAGCAAACATTAAGGAGCACATGTTTATTTGGTGCTAATGACATCATGATTTGCAGTCTTTTTTTTTTTTAAGATTTTATTTATTTATTTGACAGAGAGACAGACAGAAGAGCACAAGCAGAGGGAGTGGCAGAGGGAGAGGGAGAAGCAGGCTCTGCATCGAGCAGGGAGCCTGATGCGAGACTCGATCCCAGGACCCTGGGATCATGACCTGAGCCAAAGGCAGACGCTTAACCATCTGAACCACCCAGGCGCCCCATGATTTGCAGTCTTAAAGACGAAGCAAAATGTGTAATTTGAACCAGATGTTAAAATGGTTTAGGGATAGTATCTAAGGACACATATTTCAGAAAGTATGTGGAAACGTGACGACACATCTGCTACAGGGAGTCCTTTATGCAAGTGTCTCGACATTGCATTTTACTTGGCTTCTCAACATGAAATTGCTATCTGTTCTCAGTATTAGATTAAAAAAAAAATCCTACAGGAGAAGCAATTCAGCCTAGTTCTATAGTCAGATTTTTGGCTTTATCAGTTCTTGGCTATGGGATCTTGGGAAACTTATGCTCTCGGAGCCTCAGATACTCGTTTGTGAAATGAGAATGAGAACAGTTAGACCTATCTCATGGGACTGTCGTCTTGTTTAGATTTGGATAATACCCCGTAAAGTGCTTTCCATGGCACGTGACACTTAGTAAGTACCCATTAAAGAGTATTATCCTCATCGGTAAACTACTGCTATTTTTGATTATAAGTACTGATAAAATAACCATCCTTCACATCTAAAAACAAAGAGAACAGGTTTAGTGGAAGTAAGAGCATGAGAGCAGCAATGTTAGGAGGCTGTGATCACAGAAGTTTGGATCGCTCTAGAGTCTTGGATCTCAGAGGTTGTGGACATGGCAGCCAGGCTGCGGTCATGGGAGTTTGTGGCTAAAGTGGCATGAAGGTAAAGGTCACTGTTTGGAGGGGAAGTCAAGGAATTGTGAGGAGATTATGGTTGGCCATCCACATGCTGCTGAAGTACCTTTCAGAACAAGGACAGGAAATGAGGTGGGGAGAGGAAGACTCCATTGCAAAGACCTCACTGGATGCAGGAGAATAACTTGGGAAGATGGTAACACAGCCACACCCGTGCTTTCCCAGGACCCCGGCCACCCCTCTTTCTCCCAGTTCTTGCTAGCTCACATCTACCCCCCTACTCCAAGCTACTTTGCCTTCCAAATAAGGAAGGCAGGAAAAAAGCAAAGAAAAATGCCCTATTATTTCCCAACAGCGCCTCGCATACCTGTCTTGGGCGACTGCTCAGTGCAACCCACTGTAGAGAGTACAAGGAGGTTCAAGGCCCCTTCTGGCCCCGGCAGCTTGTAATACAGGTGAAGAGATCACAACAGGCATGTGACACTCCATACTGCTACCACCGAGACAGCGTGACATGAAATATGTTTTTTATTTTTAAAGATTTTACTTATTTATTTATTTGAGAGAGAGCGTGAGAGAAAATGAGAGAGAGCATGAGTCGAGGAGGGGCAGATGGAGAGGGAGAGGCAGACTCCCCGCTGAGCAGGGAGCCCGACGTGGGGCTCGATCCTCAGGATCATGACTGAGCCGAAGGCAGATGCTTAACTGACTGAGCCACCCCGGCACCCCTTAATATTTAAATAGACAACACTCCTCTACAAATAGCAAATGTGAAATACAAGCTAGCCAACAGATACTTTTGTTTTGTCTCAGTATCATTTCTTACTCTAGGTCTCCCTCCCATACCCACATAGGGAAGCAGTACTCTTCGTAGCTGCCTAATGGACGCTAGTTACCTTGGGTTGCTTAATGCGAGCCCGTTTTCCTTTAGATCTGGGCTACCCTACCCACCCCCCCTTACTCTAATCTGGCTGTTCCTTCTTTAAGTACAAAGTCCGATAAGGACTCACCTATAACTTTACCATTTGAAGTAAAGGAAGCAAGACTATACTTTCAGGGATCATTTCTGTAGTTTGTTACTAGGGAAGTTTCTCTGAACGTGAAGTTAAAGGAAGCTTTATGTAGATTCTGGCTTTTCATGGATTCTTTTTCTGACAGTAGAGATTCAAACCCTAGCCAATTCCTGCCCATCTAAGAATAGAGTCACTTAAAAGAATCAGAGTTGCTGTAACTTTAAATATAATCCACGCCACTTTTTCTATGACACATCATACTACTTTTTTCAAAAATCTATAAACATTTTATTAACTTTGAAGAGGGAAGAAGAACAGCTACTTTAGAAATGAGAGACACTCGAGCACTGATGTGTTCATAGAGTTTCCACACAGCTGAAGAAGTTTACATCAAATGAACAAAAAATAGTACAGAAGACCTATATACAGAAAAGATTTAGAAAGCCCATCTCTAGAAAGCAGGTCAGATGGACTCAAAGACCTCACCAAAAGTAGGAGGAATCGATGGGAAGCAATGGAAAGCCTTCTGCTGGGGCAAAAACGTGGCCACCTGCCCATGGAGTCAAGAAACGGTTCTTTTTCCTCCTCCTCTAAACGCCTGCCTCCGGTCTGGGTTGAGAGAAGGGTCCTGATCACTTGAACTGGTTGTCAATCAAGGTCCCCTTCATCTTTGCTTTCTTGGCTTCCAGTTCAGCCTGGAAAGGAAGAAAAGTATATGCCCTGAGACGTGCCATAGAAATTCTGACTTTCCTTCCTTCTTCTTACTGCCCAAACACTATCCTTTGGTGTTCATTTAGTACAGAAACTAGAATAGTGGTTGGCAGGTCGCTATGAATCTCTGGCAACCGCTTTCCGCCCCTTCTGATATTACGGTACAGACAACGATGGTGTCTGCGTGGTAAAAGGCTGCAGTCGAAGGTGATCAGCGCAGGGCTCCTCCAGCCCCAGGCCCCCCAAAGGGCCAAGGGAATGGATACTGTGGTATACCGCTGTCCTATACCTGGCAGAACAGGAAGAGAAACACTGTTCTAGAACGGTGTTACTTCAGGTCGTGCGGTCCACGAACTGTTGGTTGCTGGTTCGTGCAAGATACACGTAAAACCGAGTTAGCATTCAGAAACTTACACAGTCATTTGCCAGAGTAATAACAAGATAAAATAATTTAACAAGAGCACTCGAGGCAAATGCATTTCTGTGGCATTTTATAAATTACAAATCTGCTCTTGACAAATAGGAGACTTAAAAAAAGAAGCAAGCCCCGGTGTTTCCCCTGGGCAAATGTGACAGGCACGGCTCTCGACCACGAAGGCAAGGCAATGCCGCTCCCAAGACCCACCACCTTTGTCAGCAAAGAAGCCTCTCTGGTCATCAGAAGGGCCGGCACAGCCCCTGATGGGGCAGCAACGCAGTGACGTCCGATGGTAAAGAGCTAGCGGAAGCGCATCAGGACCCAGAAGACCCAGCTTGCAGGCGCCATCAGACGGGAAGGGTGCGCGCGCTACGAGGAGCCCGTGACCGACACAGAAAGTGGGGGCGGCCCCCATCCCGGTGCTGCCGATGTAGGCCCTGCTGCCCGCCCTTGCACCCCGGGAGCGCGTCCACAGACCCCGACCTTCACCTCCTGACCTCGGGCCCCAGGTAGCAGGTGCAAGTACCGTTCTGGTCAGGGCGAGCCGACAAGCCCTCTAACTTCGGGCCTGGAGCCCGTGGTCACTGGACAGGGCATGCCGACCGTTACAGGCCAGGGTTAGACAGCTGGCCGCCAGCTACACCAGGGCCCCCCCGGACTTCCTGCAGGAGTTCCCTGAGCGTGGGAGGCTCTCTCAGACCGAGAAATGCCTGCCGCCCTGGGCCACTCACCAGCTCCTGCAGCCGCCTTTTGCTCATGCCCTTGCGCTCCAGCTGCTTTTCGATCACTTTGGCGTTCTGCGCGTACGAGTCGGCGACTTCTCTCTGGGGGAAGAAAAGCAGCACCCGTAAGCCGGCAGTACCAGAGTCAGAGACCGCAGGTGGCAATTCATGCTACTCACATCTCACAATTATTCCGGAAATGGACTCTGTTCCCTTTAAACTCATCAGCTGTTCAATAATCCAGGAGAGCTCAGGTTTCGGCCGAAACCATTTGAAAAATAACCAATGGCATCTCCCTGTAAACCTCATTATACTGAAGGACCACAAAGGTTAGGAGAGCCTCATAAACCACTCGAGCCGGACTGGACGGGACCCGAAACCATGGAGTCCAATAGGCTTTACACTCAAGAGGGATGAGGGATTTGCCCCATGAAAGCATCTCAAAACACATTAGGAAAATGCCACCGATCCAGTCCAACTCCCCGGTCCTCATTTTACGGATGTCCTCGGGATCCAGGGAGACAGGAACCGGCCCAGGCTCCTCTAGTTTCTTACTAGCAGACTAACGCCTGGGAGCAACATTTCTTTCTTTCTTTTTTTTTTTTTTAAGATTTTATTTATTTATTTGAGAGAGAGAGAGCATGAGCAGCGGGGAGAGGGAGAAGCAGACTCCCTGATGAGCAGGGAGCCCAACTCGGGGCTCCATCTCAGGACCCTGGGATCATGACCTGAGCCGAAGGCAGACGCTTAACCGACTGAGCCACCCAGGCGTCCCTAACCATTCTCTCTTCATGGGCCCCTCTGGTGAAATCAGTGACTCCCCTTCACAGAAAAATGCCCATCTCTCGCATGCACACAAAACATATTTAATTTCAAGGAGTGCAGGGACTCTCTGAAGCTCAACCTGAACCCTGTGGAACCCAGTTTAAGGACCTCTGTTGTAGGCTAGTCCACTCCCAGGAAGCAGCTTGTCCCAGACCCAGCTTGGCTCATCGTGCCCCCAGCTTCCTCTGGGAGAGCTGACCTCCCGGCTTGGGGGCTACCCTCACAGCTGAGGTTCAGAATGCTCGGGCTTTGTAACCCTGCACTCGCGACCTCCCCCACCCCCAACCCCCGGCCCCGTGAGGTTTCTGGTGGGCTGGCCCAGCCCCGGGCCAGAGAAGAGAAGAAAGCTCTAAGCTGTTCCACAACGAGACCGGGGCACTGGGCTCGGACTGCGGAAGCCGAGAGGGAGGGAAATCGAGCTCCCCGGCAGAGCCGGTGAAAACAGGTGAGGCCAAGGGCGCCCCAGGCCCTGCCACAGGTCAGAACTGGAAATGAAGTCGAGAAAGGATACAAGCGGGCCCGCAGAGGGAGACTCGCTTGAGGGCTTGTAGGGTGGGTGCTGCGGTGTGGCTTCCCCTCCCAGAAGGGCAGTAGATGTGAGCCGTTCCAGAGCTCGAAGAGCTGGCTGTGCGGCAGAGCCGTGCGAGATTCCCCTCCGAGCTCAGGACAGAGGGGGCGACCCCGTCGGCGGCTCATGCGCGAAGCAACAGGTAGCCCGGCACCCGTGCCACGCACTTGACAAATGCGAACCCGCTCAGTGCTCCCAGCGCCAGGGCAGGTGGGTACTACCGTCGCCTCCGCTCGACAGATGGGGAGCCCTGAAGCCCGGGGGCGGGGGGGGGGTCAGGCGACGTGCCTGAACTTACACAGCGAGTAAGAGGCAGAGCGGGCTTCAAACTCCGGCAGTCCCCGCTCGGCACCACGGAGCTCGGCGGAGAGCGCGACCAGGGGCCGCGCCCGCGACGGGCCAGGGAGCCGGGAGCGGCGCAGACGCAGACGCGGTCTCTGCCCCGGAGGGGGCGCACGCCTAGCGGGCCACAGGTGACCACGGCCCGATGGGATGCGTGTCCCCACCAGGGCGGGGAGGCTGTGGCCGTGCTCCAGAGTGGCCGGGGAGTGGGGGGGGGCGGCCCAGGCTCCAGAGCGGCAGCCTGCAGCTTGCAGGGGCTCCTTTCTCAGGCCCCGGTCGGAAGCAGATAGATACCTGAGGGAAGAGCGTTCCAGGCGGGGGAAGGGCAAACGCGAAGGCCTCAGGCGGGGAATGTGCCAGGCGTGTATGAGAGCCCTGACGAGACCGCAGGGGCTGGAGGGGAGTGAGTGCAGGGGCATCTCGTAGTAGGAGCTGGGGGTCAGAATGAATGAACGAGCACTGGAGATTGTGCGTGGTGCCTACGAGCAGGGGGAACCAAAGTGGTTCCCCAGCTTGGAAGCCCTCCAGATCGTGCTGGACTCACTGCGGGAGGGTGGGAGGCCCCACAGGAAACTCTATTAATAACTCGCTCTCTCCAGAGCTCCATTCCAAAGGCATGACTGGATTCCCTCCTCCACCCCCGACCCCCAGCCACCCGGGAGGACAGGCAGGGACTTCCTGGAAGCTCATCCTCCCTCTCGGTCTGAGGCTGGGGCTGAGCCGGCAGGAGCAAGCTGAGAGTAAGACCTGACCTTTTCGGGACGCCTGGCTGGCTCAGTCGGTAGAGCATGAGACTCTTTACCAAAAAAAAAAAAAAAAAAAAAGACGACCTTTAGAGTTTACACAGTCTACCCTTCTACCTCCAGAGGGTACTCCGCTCACTCGTCCTCTTTGAGCCTGCGATGGAGGCCATGATGGGCTGGGCCCACCTGTTCCCTCTGGTCCTTCTGAGAGAAAAAAAACCCTTTCAGTGAGGGTCTTTAGACAGCAAATTCTCTTTCAGAGTCCTACTTTCCCACTTCCCTCCCTCTCTCTGGCTCTACCTTCAGAGGCAAAAAGAGTAAGTGGCCTTGCCCTCCTTGTGGGATGTCTGTGTCTCAGTCCCAAAGTCAAACCCTCTGTTGTCTAGAAGATAATTTGTAGTTCTCTAGAGATTTTGGACATGAGCTTTATACTTTCCTGTATTAGAAATATCTTCGCCCGCTCTGTGGTTTGCTATTACACTCTCTTAATGGTGGTTTTTTTGTTTTTGTTTTTTATGAACGGAAGCTCTTAATTTTAATGTAGCCAAATGCATACATCTTTTATGGTTAGTGCTTTTTGTGTTTTGATTGAAAGGTCTTTCATTTCCCAAAAATAATGAAAATATTTTGCTATATTATTTCCCAGACTTTTTTTTAGAAGTTTTGTTTATTTGTTTTGTTTAAAGATTCTATTTGACAGAGAGAGCGCAGGCGCACAAACAGGGGAGTGGCAAGCAGAGGGAGAGGGAGAAGCAGGGAGCCCGCGGAGCAGGGAGCCCGATGGAGGGCTCGATCCCAGGACCCCAAGATCATGACCCGAGCGAAAGGCAGCCGCTTAACGACTGAGCCACCCAGGCGCCCCTAGAAGTTTTGTTTTTTTTTTTTAAGTAAACTCTACACCCAATGTGGGGCTTGAACACATGACGACCCTGACATCAAGAGTTGCATTCTCTACCAACTGAGCCAGCCAGGCACCCCATTTTCTAGAAGTTTTTTTTTTTATTTAACCTTGCTCAAAGTTGCTCATTTAGATCTATGATTTATCTGGAATTGATATTTATGGATAATATGAGGTAGTGGTCAAGTTTTCTTTTTGCCATATGGCTAGATAATTGTCCTAGCAAAGTTTATTGAAAAAAAAAAAATCCTTTTCCCACTGAAGAGCAATGGCACCTTTGTTATATAGCGGTTATATCTGTGTGGGTCTGTTTCTGGATTCCCTATTCTGTTCTATTGGTCTATTTGCCTATCACTGGGCCAACATCATATTGTTTTAATTACTTCCGCTATATAATAAGATAATATCTAGTAGAACTATCTTCCCACCTAGTTCTTCAAGAGTGCCTTGGCCATTCTTGGACCTTTTCCATAGAATTTATTTTTTTAAAGATTTTATTTATTTGTCAAATAGAGAGAGCGCACAAGCAGGGGGAGCAGCAGGCAGAGGGAGAGGCAAGCTCCCCTACTGAGCAGGGAGCCTGGATGCGGGGCTCAATCCCAGGACCCTGGGATCATGACCCGAGCCGAACGCAGATGCTCAACCGACTGAGCCACCCAGACGTCCCAAGAATTTAAATTACCTTGTCAAGCTCCCCCCGCCCCCAAACACACACACACATACAAATGTTGGGATATTTGAATGGGGTCTCATTGAATCTATATAAATCACTCTGCTGAGAACTGATGCCTTAAAGCTATCGAGTCTTCCAACCCATGAATATCACTACATTCATTTGGGTTTTAATTTTTCTTGATACTCTTCCATATTTTTCTATGTAAAGGCCTTACCCATGTTTTCCTAGATTTATCCCTAGATATTTTTTATGTTATTATAATGACTTAATATTTATTAAGTTTCCAAATGCTTGTTGCTTATATTGACAAATACAATTAGTTTTCCATATTGACCACATGTTCAGCAACCTATCTAAATTCATTTATCAATTCAAATGTTTATCCTTCAATTCTTTTGGATATTCTTTGTACACAGTTGTGTCTTCTATAAATGATGACAGCATTATTTCTTCCTTTCTAGATCTTTAATCTTTTTGTTTCTTTTTCTTCTTTTATTGCACTGGCTAGGCTTTCCAATACAATAATAATAGAGGGAATCCTTGTCTCATTTCCAATTTCAGGAGGCAAGCTTTTAAGTATGATACTTCCTGTATAATTTTTTGTAGATACCTTTGATCATAATGAAGAATTTTTCTTCTATTCTTAGTCCCTTACTCCCATGTGTATCCTTACAGTAAATCCCAATTATTTAAGATAACTTGAGTATCTGTTCCTAATATCCAAAAAAAACGTACTTAAAACAATGATCATTTTGTCACTTCCTTTAAAATATTTATTCCTCTCAATTTTCTTATTTTATTCAGTAAGGTAGAACATCCAGAATAATACTGAGTAATAGCAATGATGGCAGGCATCCTGGTCTCATTCCTATAACATTAATGAAAATGCCTCTAGGATATCATCTAAATTTTACTTGTTAGTATCTTATTTAGAACTTTAAAACATCTATATTCAGGATTTTTTATATGTATATTTTTAGGTGAGATTGGTCCACACATTTCATTTTCCTGCTATCATTGTTAGGTTTGGTATCAGTTATGCTACTTTCATATAAAGAATTGGGGGAAA